AAGGAAAGGATGAAGGGAAAGAATAAAAGGGAAAGAATACGGCCGGAGAAACCAGCAGAAGTTACTCAAAATCGATGGGCTGTATGGTGTGCCATGATGGCTGTGGGGTTTATCTTCTTTCTTTGGAAATATTTTCTGCTGTTTCTCCAGTAAATGTCGTCGGAAGCGCGTAATGTCGGTGGCCGCTGTGTTCTATTCGGACATCACGCAGGGGCCAATGAGTTAGATCTATGCCAAAAACTTCAGAGACACGTCCAGCTACCTTTTTTTTTCTGTGTCTTTTGAGGGCCTATACTCACACCCATCTTCCCCAAATAGAACGCCCGATCACTACGGCTTTTTTTTTTTTTTTTTTTTTTTTTTTTTGAAAACAACCTGAGGAAGTAGTAGTGGTGCACTATAGCTATAACACTAGTACATGGCCCGGGCAAACTTCAGAATCAAAATCGGCTCGTTCGGAGAGTCCGGAGGGTCGGGCCTACCGGACCAAAATGGCTGGCAGTGCGAGCCGAAAGGGGGGAGGGTGGAAAGCATAGAGCTGCTGTGTCGGCAAAGCTTGTCCCGCAGGTAGCATCCGCCTCGACAAAAAGAGGCTTGGGGGTGCACTGCCGTCTTTCACTACCTAAATCAGATAAGGTATGCAGAAATAATGACAGGCGTTCTATGCGGGTGAAGACATAGGACTTTCCTGGATGTATCTGACTGCAATTACAGACGCACGCACTGACATGAATTCGGCGGACAAATACGACCATAGCTCATTCAAAAGAGACCTGGTGCGAGTATGCCCTGGCATTGCCTAAATTACTTACCAGTAATAATTTGGCTTTTTAGCTTCCCTTNTTTTTTTTTTTTTTTTTTTTTTTTTTTTTTTTTTTTTTTTTTTTTTTTTTGCTTCCATCTTTTTTACAGCAGGCCATGATGTGAGGCTCATCTTCTCTGTAATAGTCTGTATCTTTTCAAATACCAGGAGATCCCCCGAGGGCAGCTGCGGCATTGAAAAAAACTTTAAAAAAGAGAAAAAAAAGGTGCAATTTGAAATCTCCTTTTGGGCAGCAATTGTCGCTTCCCTTTTCTGCAGGCTGTCTGAAGTGTCTGTGCATTGAGAAAAAAAAATATAAAAAAATATGCCTATCAGAAAGAAGAGGTAAAAAAAGATGGGGACAAAAAAGAGTGTGCATTAATTGCACTTAGATAAATGCCAGTGTACACCCGCATTCCTTGATAATAACACGAGTTTCGGCGGTACCCTCAGTGTGCACTCCTGCACCAAAATGGCAGGTGGCTACAAGTAACTGAGGAGAGGCCTTGTCCCCTTGGGATGCAAGGGAAAGGCAAAGTCCCAGCTGAAGAAAAGAGGATGGGAGCTACTGGTAGTTTAACATCGAACGTCATACCACAGTGTGTGTGCCCCAAGGATGGCTTCCGAACTGCTGCCACTTGTAGTGCCTGCAACTCCCACACAGGTTGCTGCTCTTACGACGTGATCCGGCGTGCAGATCAGTGACTGAATGGTCTTGAAAAAAAAAGAAAAAAAAGTGCAATATCTGTTCTGATCAGTTCAAAGAGAGAGAGAGAGAGAGAGAGAGAGAGAGAGAGAGAGAGGAAAATAGCAGAACATAATGCCTACCCCTACACGTGTGGATACATACCCTGGGGGCGAGGTCCCACTAGCAAAGAGGATTGGAAAGAACGCCTGGATCCGGACTTGTTTGTGGGAAGGTGCAGAAAATCAAGATCGCACTGCGCCTGAATCCGTACGTGTTTGAAGGAAGGTGCAGAAAATCGAGATTGAACTGCTTTTCCGCATCTTTGCTTAAAACACGTCCACATTCAGGAGCTTAATCCAATCCCCTTTGCTAGTGGGACCTCGCCCCTGGTAAATTCAGACAGTGGTACCTCTCACGGGACGCGGCAGTGGTGGGACCGCCACCACCAAAAGTGGCAAAGAAACAAAACACACACACACACACACACACAAAAAAAAAAAAAAGAAGAGAGAGGAGACAGTGGCAGGCTACATTCCATAACTGTTGATCCCTTGAACATGAATCTGGATGCGTAGGAGATATATAGGACGAGGCCACACTGGTGCTAGGTTCATGATGTGAAGGCAAGCACGCGGCCATGTTGGCAGCTAGGTTCATGCTTTCCTACCATGAACCTACCCTCGGTGGGCCCTGCAGTGGTCCTCGCTTCATATATCCCTAACCCTGGACCCTCACCAGCACAACACAAGGGAGGAGGAGGGAGGCCCATAGAAAGCTTCTTTGCATAACTTTTCTGGATAAGCCCTTTATAAGGGAAAGACAAGAAAAAAGAGGAAGGGAAAGACGGTGGCAGACTCCAAGTATGGAACTGAAATGGCCACAGTCCCGAGAAACACTGAACTGAGATCATGTATCCAAGGGACGCTGGAACCCGTTCCCAGCAGGTGTCGCTCCCCACCAATATATGGAGAAGCCCTACAGCCAAAGCCTCAATTCTGGTGGTTCTCTTACCAGCACCGGGATTGAGGCCTTGCAGAAGAAAAAAAGAAAAAAGAAAAAAGAAAAAAAGAAAAAAAGAAAAAAGAGAGAGGGTTAAAAAAATCCTGCCTGTCAGTTGTAAACCGCCAGTACCTTTCCCAGGCAAAACAAAAATTGCCCACCGGTTAACAGGAGGCCGGACCTGGGCATGAGCGCCAGCCAGATACATCCCAAGGAAAGGTACTGCACCAGAGAGAACATTGGGCCCTTCGTTCCACCTGTCCTCGGGGATGTCGCCCCAGGACGTTTCCTCGGAGCGATGTCAGAAAAAAAAGAAGAAAAGAGAAAAAAAAAAAAAATTGCTTGAGGCATTCAGCCAATAGGGTGCCGCCACGATCCAGATTCTCGGTTGTAACGTCTCTCTACCCATGTGCACGCGGATTCCTTTTGCCCAAGGGACCTTCTTGGGCAAAAGGAAGAAATGGCTGGGGAATCCTCGGAGCCCAAGGAACTTCCTTCTGCATGTTTTAACTTTTTTTTTTTTACCGACTGCATCCCCGAGGATAGGTGGAACGAACAATTCCTCGGGGATTTTACGCACCCGAGGAGTGTCGAACGAGCCCCTAAGTTGGAATGTCCCTCCAACTTAAAGTTTACTCACCAATAATGACAGAGGCGAGCTTCGTCACCGAAGTCTGCACTCACTCCAGCTGACCCTCCGAAAAAGAGGGCTCTGGTGGACTTGGCCATTCGGCGGATTTCGTTGGTGAGTATATTGAACCTGGTGGTGGAATCAGGGCCTTAGCACTGGGGTTCTTCATGTCTGGACTTTCATCACGATGAGCCGCCAAAAAACAGAAGGAGAAAAGAAAAGAGATCAACATCCAGACCAGGGGAGCATGTGGAAGCTGCCTGCAGTGTAGACATCAACTGAGTGTGGACCCCAATATAAGAAGGGGAAAAGAAAAGAGATCAACATCCGGACCAGGGGAGTATGTGGAAGCTGCCTGCAGTGTAGACAGCGACTGAGTGTTCTCTCATGGTTTTCTCTTCCAGCGTTCCCTCTACACGAGCAGCAACTGAGAATTTCACGCGGTCAATGGTCACTTTGCTTCTTCATGCCTGTACCTTTCGTTTCCCATCTACACCCATCTGACCACCTCACAGAGAGTATCTTGCACCTAAATCTTTCATAATATCCGACCTCTAAACTCGGAAAATCCACTAACGTGCCTTAATCACCACAGTTAGACTTGAGGAACGCACCCTTTTTTCTTCCGCACACACACACACACACACACACACAGAGAGAGAGAGAGAGAGAGAGNAGAGAGAGAGAGAGAGAGAGAGAGAGAGAGAGAGAGAGAGAGAGAGAGAGAGAGGTCAGTTTGTATTGCTTCCCAGATGGCAGATCCCTAAGAATCATAAGTATCTGAGATGCAGGCGCAAGTGGAAGGATGATCGAGGAGGGGAGCACACTGCAGGTCGAATAAAAGGCGGGAACCAATGGCGGCAAAGAGAGGAAGGTTGTTGAAGTGCCTATTGGAGTTTCAAGCCATGCCAGTGAAACGTTGAGCACACAGCAGGTGAAGAAGGTTCCAAGTGATTATTCGAGTGTCAAGTCATGAAAAGCGGGTACACCGAAGGTGCACTAAAAGGTGGAGACGAATAATGGCAAAGAAAGGAAGGTTGCAGTGCCCACCAGAGTGTGAAGTCTCGGAAAGGAGAATGATTGTCTTCGAAGTGTGGTACACCGAAGGTTCACTAAAAGGTGGAGACAAATGATGGCAAAGAAAGGAACGTTGCAGTGCCCACTGGAGTGTGAAGTCACGAAAAGGAGAATAATTGTCTTTGAAGTGTGAGCTTCGGGATTGGAAAAAAAATGTGTTTGGGATTGACCTTGTTCTGGAAGGTTTGGTGTTGTTTGTGTGTCTGTGCGGGGAAGGCAGGAAACAAAAAGAAGAAAAGGGGGATGTAAAGGAAGAGGAAGTTCATCGACAAACGGATGAACGACCTATTGTATAAAACCACTGGTACTTCGAGGCCTCCTTTCCCTGAAGTGGATTTCAGCTGTGCGCCAAAACAAAAATGGGTCCGGAATTTTCTTTTTCCTTCTTTTGGCTGGCGCCACCGGACATTACCGCCTGCACTGCTGAGCTCCAAAAGATGTGGTGCAATCATGGCCACATCATACAAACTTGGCTGTTGAAAGTACTGGTGGTTTAAGGCCTGAGATATGCACTGATGAATACTAGTATGTCTCTCAGAACGAAAAGAGATTGGGTCTCCCTCCTGTGACGTACCTGTTTCTGTAACCGAACAATCTTCGGAAGCCCTGAGTTTTTGTTATTCCTACTCTTCGGATTTCTCTTGGGCTTTTTTGGGTACCCCTTCCTTTTTGCTATCCCCTCCGTGCACAGAATCGCAGGACAACCAGGCCCTCTCACGTCTACAACAATGTTTCTTTGGATTTCTTTGCAATTTCCTTTCGGCAATCCACACATCTAAGTAGGAATAACTTGTGCCTTAGCGAGCGCACTAGGAATTTTGTTTGGCAGTTGCGAACTTTGGAAATTATGGGCATTCTTCCCGCTGACGTGTTCTTGCAAGTGAATGTTCCCACACTCGCCCCTGAAAGATCTGTGAATTTTCTGTAGGAAGCTAGATAGCCGTTTTTCGTGCTCAATTCTGTGTGCTAAGGTTGGTTTTGAATTTTTCAATCTTGAAACAATTTTAGAACTAGGATGGACGAAACGTGATTGTTTCAGTGCCTTTTTCTTTTCTGCACCAAGTGCCATGCATGCATGCTTTCCCCGGTTCCCACTACGACCCATGCTGTCTTCACCCTTCTCATCTTTGCGCCTTCCCTCCTTCACCCGTGACTGTTTTCCATCCCCTCCCCCTTCGCGCTTTGCCCCCACTCCTCCTCGTCTGAATCTTGGTCCCGCTCCACGCTTCTCATAGCGCTCTCCTCCTTCCCACCTTCATCCCCATACAAGAACTCCCTACCGATCTCCCGCTTGGGTATTCGAAGCCGTCAGGCGATGTCATGTAAGGAGGACGCTACAATCTGATTGGCTGCGAAAGACTCTCGAGGATCGATATAGCTTTCCCCAGGCGATTACCGCAAACTCTCGCTTCACCTCCTCGTACCACGCCTCATTCCCTCCCATCTTTTATCTCCCTCTTTGCAATTATAAAACCCGCAAGCGTGTCCGAAAAACTCTCTCTCAACCCATCTGCCAGGTCTAGGGAAGTCGTGGCTAGGTGATGTGCAAGTAGGGAGTCAAAGTCCTGACAAGCCAACGACAATGTATGCAAGGTTGTGCGCCGGGTGGTCGCGACTGTGCAAGTTGGTGCAAAAGCTGAGTTGGCGGGGTGACGATCGCTGTGGTTTGGAGGTTGGTACGTGGCGGCCATGATCATCAGTACCGGAATGAGAAGAGTGTGTGTGTACGAGTGGTTGCATGGCCAGGGGCCATTATCAGAGAGCAGAACGCCGGTGCGCCTTGATTTTCAGATTCTTCTTCCTTTGGTTCTCAGAAGCTAAGTCCCCGACGAATAGCGGAGTGCTCCCCCTCAAGATTGTCTGTATGACCACAGTTCTCTCCCTCTCTTCTTGGTCCTCTTCTTTGGTTAAGCTACGCTTTCATCCCCCTCTCTCTCTCTCTCTCATTCCCTTGCTCTTATCTATCTGATGAATGCCAAAATGACCCGAGATTTCCTTCATCTCGCTTGCCTCTATTATTCAATCGGGTCTCACACGATCGAGCCTCGTTATTCAATCGGATCTCACACGATCAAGCATCGTTGAAATTAAAGGGACTAGTAAGCACCAGGAGATCTTAATCGGTTTTCTTCTTCGGTTGTTGATGTGTCTCTCGAACAACTGAGGATTCGTGTATGTGAGGTTTGTTGCACATGTGCATCGGTTGGGCAAACTCCGCTAAAATCCCACTGAGATTATGGGAATGCATGCTTGTCGCTCCCTTAATGAATGATGATTGTCGCTATGATTGGATCGTACTCACACTTTTCTTTTTGATCAGTTCGCCGGATGGATGAAAGGCAATAAAGCGCGTAGCATTGCAACTGTTTACTTTTGTGAATGAACAACCAATTGGGTAGATTCACGTACTCATAGTTTGCTTATGCCATGTAGACCGATTGCCCCAACAGACTGAGTGCCAACTCCCCGCATCCCCATCGCAACATGCCCGTATAACGAGGAAAGGACACATGTCTACGAGTGGGATGTACAAGAAGCCGTCGCCAAGATTGGCGGACGAGGTGTTCGGAGTTCGTGGGCACTGGTTTTGTCATTATCGATACCCACTTTCCCCCGTAGTCTTTATTATTGCCTTAACGAACTTATTGTCATCCCGTGGACGCCAGTAGCGCCCTGCTGGCCCAACACCCTGTGCAGCGATTGTTGCTGCACCAAGCGTTATCAGGAGAAGGGGTTCCGCTACCAAACACATGGCGAGGACGAGCACAGGGAAAGAGCGACCAGGCTGAGACCATCCACATCAGATTCTGAACGCTGTAGCGAACGACGTCGGGACTTAATTCGAAAAAGATCCCACGTGTGTACCTCCGCCCTTCTGTTAGAAAAGACGACGAGAAGCTTGCATGGAAGTGCAAATATACTTTTCGGATTAAGTGAACATTTGAAAGTAGCGCACCATTTCTTTCCCGCACGACCATGGTCCTTCCTCACTAAAACTGTAAACGCATGGGGACTTTCAGTTCCGTCTATGGCCCAACACTCAATATTCCCAAAAATCCTTAGCACACCCCATCCTTCTGTCCTTCAGGGCCTATTCCACACAAATTATCACTCCGACCAAAGGACAGGACAGGGCGTGAGGTTGAACATCACACTCCAGTCCATTCCAGAATGGAGAGCAGGCAAGGTGTTATCAGCCTCTCAAAAACCAACTTTTTTGTGTCTTCGCTCCACCTACTCTCAACTTTGACAGCGACCAGGCGCGATGCGAACATAATTCTCTTTTTGACAAACAAAGCCTATTAAAGCTGAAGCCTTCATGAGCACTTGCCAGTGAGGATGGAGAAATCTTGGCTGGGACTCCAATCTCGAAGAGTCCCATCAGAGGAATCTTTCTGGCGACTCTCCATTCATTTCTTGGAGTGTAGGATGGCGCCTTAGTCGAATGGGGCCACACTCTGCAAAACAGTGAATGGAACAAGAGCCATGTGGCCTTTTGAAGGCCTAAGATCAGCACTGACAACCGCCTCTCTGTCCCTCAGACAGAAGAAATTCAGTGGGAAAACATTGCTCACGTCACTGATGTCATGAATGACTCAGGACACCCCTCTGGAAGAAGTACAGGAAAACGTTGCTTTTCTCACGTCCGTGATGTCATGAATGAATCAGGACAGAATCAGGGAAGAAGTTCATCCATATCATAGGGAACATGTCTGTTTTTCTTTCCCTCACCCTTTCTCTTTCATTGATCAGAGGGAGCAGAGGTGTGTTTTTTTTTTCCCCTTCTCCCATTCTCTTTTATTGATCAGAGGGAACAGAGGTGGCTGCGAAAAAACGCAGCCCCGACTCTGATAAATAAAGAGGGAAAAAGAAGAGAAAACTATGCCGTGGTCGGGGTTATCTAAATGCATTAGGATCGTGGTTTCTGCAGTCCGGTCAGGTCCGAAGCTCAAAATGCAGTTGAAGTTCAGGTCGAAGCTCAAAATGCAGTTGAAGTTCAGGTTGGCAGTTCGGTCACGGTCTGGAAGTTTGGGTTGGTAGTTCAGTCACAGTTGCCAGTTTCATTTTGCAGGTCGGGTGCCACCCGATTTGGACATATGAAACTCGGGCTGCAACTGCACTGCTGCATGTCAAATTTGGGCTGCTAAACCCGTGTTTGGAATGCATTTACAAACTTCTTTTGTGACCACCGCATAGTTGCCCCAGAAAAGGAAGACTTCCTACAGTGGACAACTGGGCCCAAGTCCCACTAACAGCGTTGAGATTCATCCACAACTGAATCTGGACGTGCTTGTGGAGATGTGCAGTTTGAGGAAAGTCACCGCGATTTCTGCAAAACCCAATGCTGCTAGTGGGAGTTGGCCCCTGGATGGAGTTCCATCCAACATTCCAGTTCATTACAGTATCTGTGTGAGGAGCCTGGGACTTGTCCCTTGAGTGGAGTTCCATCCAGGGTTCCAGTTCATTACCACCTGCAGCAGTTGGATGTTTGACTCAGCCATCGACTAAAACGGTGAGGTCCTGACCGGTCCAGACCAGTCCAGCCTCCAGTCCAACAGTCTAGACAGGCTTGTGCCCCCAATGTAATTTAATTGAATGAATAATTTCATGATTGAATGAATAATTTCATTCAATTAATTGAATTGGGGAAGAGATCTAAGAAAGAGTCTGATAATAAGGCTATACTCGACGTCGCCCACTTCGTGGAGAACGGGGCCTATATCCATAAATATCTATCTATCCTAATCGTAAGTTGAGTTGGAGAGCCGTATGATAGGGGACTATCTTGTACGGTTCGGTGTGAAAGTTTCACTCTATTCTTTATTGTGGTTCATCTTCATATTTTTCATGGTGCTACACACCCCAAAGTTCATATGGATCTGGACCGCTACCTTGGCCACCCAGTGCACCCTCCCCATCCAGAACGACGAGTTCTCTCACCACACACAGGTTGCTGCACCACAATCACCAAATGCGCACCCGTCTGGACACCGGAAAGGATTTGGTAAGTCAACGAGTTGTGTGATGGTGGGTCAGGGCTCACTTTTGCGAGTTTTCTCACCCACATTTTTATGATGTGTTTTATGATAGTGAGGACTCGTCACCGACTGCCTTTCTTCCCGGTTTGTTGATGTTGAGTGGTGCGCCGAGGCACATACTCCAAAGTGATATTACAATGTGCTCCGTGTGCACTACAGTCTTTGCCACTTCACCTGAATAGAATGCCCAGTCATTATAGCTGTACTTAGGGAGAACGCCCAGTCATTATAGCTGCATTTAGGAAACCATGCAGTCTAGATACAGCGATAAGGACTGGGCTGTCTATTCGGGTGGAGACGGTAGTGCCTGTGGATGACCATCTTCAATACCAGTAGTGGGATAATTCGTCGACTGCTTCCGCACTACATAGCTACCCACATTTGAACCACCAGTGTGTTTCCCCCCAAAGAAACCACCAGTGTACTTCATCAGTGTACTTCCAAAAGTGGTGGCCGTATATGAGCCGCGACGCGCGAACGGGCCTGGCGGCTCTGGCCACATTCATTCAAGTGGAAACGTCACGGCTCTCTTTTTCACCGCGGTGACATACTGGCAGTGGAAACAAATATGCGGCGTGTATACCGGAGCAACTCTCGGAGGCTTAGCCTCCGGAGAAAAATGGCCGGTGACACTGGCTAAAACACGCCAGTTCATTTTTCTTTTGGTGCACAGTGCATTTCCAGCCGCGAAAGTTCTGGTAATTTAAACAAGTACTCAACAAAGAAGATCTTCCTCGCCCTTCCGTACAAACAATCTCCAAGGAAAGATCCCCAGGGCTTGCCGCACTGCTCGCCAATGCCAAAATTCTGCAGATACATTCCAATTGAAACCACAGGGCTTGCCACACTGCTCGCCAATGCCAAAATTCTGCAGATACATTCCAATTGAGATCCACAGGGCTTGCCGCACTGCTCGCCAATGCCAAAATTATGCAGATACATTCCAATTGTCCATGCTTGCCCAGTGGTGTGGCCAGCTCTTACTACCGTTTAAACCACAAGTACTTTCCCCAGCCATTTTTCTCTGACAAGGCTGTGCGGGCTACTGGAGCGAAATGGTTGGCAGCACCAGCCAAAAAGCAAATAGTTCTGTTTATACCACCAGTACGTTTTCCCACCAAGAAATCAAATATGCTGCTTGTATACAACCAGAACTTTCAGGAAGTACCATTTCTCTGGATATCCATCCAGACAAAACAGGCCTCGCATGCAACCCCCGGTTTCGCCCGGATGGATATCCAGCGAAATGCCACCCCAGTATGCAATCAAATATGCAGCTTATACAGCCAGAACTTTCAGGAAGGAATGGCCATTTCGCTGGATATCCATCCAGTCAAAATGGGCCTCACATGTGACCCTGGTTTCGCCTGGATGGATATCCAGCGAAATGGCGACCCAGTACTTCCCGAGAGTTGCAGCTGCAGCTCCATGCACGGCTCTTGAAGAATGGCTGGAAAACATACTGGCGGTCTAAACCACCACCTGGGCCTAGAGGTGCTGCACTGTGTGCCCAACTTTTCCAAACCAACACCGGTGCACTGATTTTCGTTTTTGGCTCGTGCCGCCAGCCATTGTGGTCGGGCCCGAGCCGCAAAAGTTTCTGAATAGGCAACCCACAAATTTCTACAAGGCTGGGGCTGGGTACTAGCTGCTGAAATGAATACCTGAAGACGATCTGTGCGTCTCGCTCCACTGTCCAAAATTGCAGAGTAGTGCAGCACTCCGCTAACTATCCAACTGGAATGAGGGCATTCTGACACGGAGGACCTTTTCTACTAAGCTCTGGACGTGATTGCAGTCAGATTCATCCAGGTCTATCCGGTTCTGCAGTCATATACATTTAGGAGAGTGGTAGTTTGAGCATGCCCTGAGGAAATCGAGTTGGATACCCACACCACTCTCCACAGTTGGACAGTCTCCCAGACTCCCACCTGCAAAGGCCATCTTTTGCAGAGTCCTTGGCGGAGAGGTTCATGGGCACTCGGCTTTGGAGAGTTCGCCTCGAGTCTGGGTGGACAAAATGCTGATAGCACCCCGTGTCCTGTAGTAGCGCCATCACCCCATGTCCTGTAGTAGTGTCATCACCCGGTGTCCTGTAGTAGTGCCATCACCATGTCTTTTAGCGCCATGATCACAAATTGGAGAGTCCTTGGACACACGGACAGTGGATAGTAAGGGGTCGCAGGTTCCCCTACGGCTACCTTGTTGCAGTATTGCTTCCATGATATTAGGAGCATTAGCCGCAATGGCTCAAAACACAGTCAAAAAACTTTTAGCTTCTCCGTATTCCGTGCTACTCCCGGAATGTGCATTTGAACGACGAGTACCCTGAGAGGCATGGTATCGCCAGAAAGAGCGGAGGCATTTTCACATGAATGAATTGGTCCATGTGCAGCAGAGCAGTACATCCCCAATCATTTTGGGAAGTACAGGTGGTCCAAGGAGGTCGAAGGTATGTGACCAGGATTTAGGGTTCTAACCAGTTATTTTCCCTTCTTCAGCAGGGAAATTGCATACTACCAGGCCTTGCTTGCAAACGGAGGAACTCGATGGGCCTCTACTGCCATCCATTACAGCTGCTGTATCTAGACCGAAAGTTCCCCCAAATACAGATGTAATGACCGGGTGTTGTATCATAGCACTCCGGTGGCACTCTTCTTGCCGTAGGCAGATCCGTGCTCTGTTCACCGCTAGAGAATGACTTCAGGAGTACTCCTCTGTGTAGGTACTCCTTCGTGAGGGTAGTGCTCCTTTGTGCAGGTACTCCTTTGTGAGGGTACTACTACTTCGTATAGGTACTCCTTCCTGAGGGAGGGAAGTACTCGTCAAGTTTCTGTAGGTACTCCTTCGTGAGGGTAGTACTCCTTTGTGTAGGTACTCCTTCGCGAGGGTAGTACTCCTCTGTGCAGGTACTTGCACTGCAGAAAGTAGTTATGCCGTGGCCCATAGCCCGTCATCTCTGCTCTATAGTATTCGGTCCTAAACCATGTACTAAAAATAGCAACCAGAGGATCCATTGTCCCACCTTTCCAGATTCTTCCTTTCTTCCAAATTCCCCCGGCTGATCTGCACCATCGTCGGCCATAAAAACCTTGTACCAACTGGTAAAACTAGAACAGACATGGTAACTGTGGTACCAACTGGTACAGACATGGTAGGTACTAGGTGGTCTCAACTGGCACAAATGCCCTAAGTGGTCCCAAGGGAACTGATACCAACTGTTACCAATCGCGGTAAGTGGTCCCAGCAGTTACCAGGGCAACTGGCACCAACTGCTACCAGAGCTAGGTGGTCTCAACTGGCACAAATGCCGTAAGTGGTCCCAAGGGAACTGGTACCAACTGTTAACAACTGTTACCAGGGCAACTGTTACCAATCGCGGTAAGTGGTCCCAGCTGTTACCAGGGCAACTGGCATCAACTGCTACCAGAGATACAAATGCCGTAAGTGGTCCCAAGGGAACTGGTACCAACCGTTACCAGGGCATCTGCTACCAATCGCGGTAAGTGGTCCCAGCAGTTACCAGGGAAACTAGCACCAACTGCTACCAGAGATAGGTGGTCTCAACGGGCACAAATGCCGTAAGTGGTCCCAACGGAACTGGTACCAACTGTTACCAGCGCAACTGCTACCGATCGCGGTAAGTGGTCCCAGCTGTTACCAGGGCAACTGCTACGGATCGCGGTAAGTGGTCCCAGCTGTTACCAGCGCAACTGGCACCAACTGCTACCAGAACAACTACCGGTTTAGCTGGCTCTTGAGCACGACCCCAATAGCACTGGGACCCGGTCAGATTTCGCGGCAGAATGATTGATTGCAAGTGGGACCTGGTCCCAGTCTTCGCGGCAAATCGATTGATTGGGAATTTGGGACTGATACTTGGGACTCGACACGGGCGAAGAGGGGTTGGTGGAGGAGGCGGCTGGTTACTTTCTCTTTTGAAGGGCTTCTCTTCGCGTCGTAGGAGTTGAGAGAAACCTTGCCCACGTGGCTGACTGGTTGGTACACACATGTACGTAACTGTTAGTAAACAGCGGACCATGAGTTCAAACCCCTATGGAATCAGATTAACAATGATTTAAGGGATCAGACTGACACCCCCTAACTTTTAATACTTAGTATGTCATAAAATTTCCAATATTAAAAAAAATAAAAAAAATACTAATCTATATTATCCATGAGCGGTGAGGTAAGGAAGGGAGATCAAACCGGGGCAAGGTCCCACCAGCAAATGGGATTGGATTGAGCGCATGAATCTGGATGTGTTTGATGGAGATATACAGAAAAGCAGATCAATTGCGATTTTCTGCACCTCTCCATCTCACACGTCCAGTTTCAGGCATTTAATCCACTCCTCTTTGCTAGTGGAACAAAATCTCTCTCTCTCTCTCTCTCTCTCTCTCTCTCTCTCTCTCTCTCTCTCTCTCTCTCTCCGTCGATCTGCTGCTCACTTCCTCTTCCTCTGGAATTTTATTTTATTTTATTTTATGGCTGTAAATGAAGCGCCAGTTGATCGGCCAATCAACTATGCACTCAATCAACCAATCAATCACTCAGTAAATCACGGTTTGTCTGCCTTTGGTTCAGGCAGTTCAACATGGTGTCCTAGTCGGAAAAAAACTCGTCTCTACTCACCTGCGCGCTGGGAGCCAAGCCCGCCGGGAGTGTACCCCGATCTCACATTCATTCACAGAACTGCGGGGGGAGAGAGAGAGAGAGAGAGAGAGAGAGAGAGAGAGAGAGAGAGGCAAGTGCAAAAGAAACACAGAGGGCTTGCTTAGTGATTACGTCTTACCATATTCAGGTCGTTCAACAATTTATTTATTTATTTATTTATTTTCAACAACGATTTCACTTTTCCTTCTAAATTAACATTTCATTCAACGAGAGCTGATAAACCACGACTGATTTTCGTTTTTTTCTTTTTTCTTTTTTTTTTCCTCATGCGAAGGGCCAGCGTTTTCGTTAATGTTCTGTGTATCGTTCCTATTTCTCGGTTTTCCGTTCACCCTTGATTACCCCCTCCCCCCCCCCATCCTAATGAATTGTCGCGTTGAGGACCAAAAAAGCGCATCAAAGGCAGCACCAGCATATTCCACGTGGCGGCTGCTTGTACGTGGATTTATTTATTTTTTTTCCTTCCTCTCACTCAAGAAGGAAGCAAAGCAAAAAAGAAAAAAGGGAAGCAAATCAGCATATACACTTGGCGGCTGATCAGCACAGACACGTGGCAGCAGCAGCAGCAGCAGCATACATACATACATACATGACGTGGGATCAACGAGAGCTGGCTCTTTTTTTTTCTTTTTCTTTCTTTCTTTCTTTCTTTTTTTTTTTTTTTTNTTTTTTTTTTTTTTGCCGCAGGCTTCTGAGCACACGCACGCATCAGGACTTCTACGAACCGCGTATAATACATAATGTCCTGTTTCGACTTTTTCTCACGAGCCCCCGAGTTTCGTTTGCTAGAAAAGGAAAAACATATTTGATGATTTCTAATCAAATCTACCAATACAGTAATAATAATTCGGCGCAAACATACACCATTCTCTCCCGTTATTCATCAATTGTACCTGAGCATCTTAATCATCATGTACATATTCAATCACAATATACACGTACATATGAATCGCCACATACAAAACTGCTTGGGAAAACATATATAACTTATTTATTAATTAGTAATATAGTTATATATTATTATATGCATACATACATTGATTGGTACATATATTTTGTACATATATATCGTCAAACAGATATATGGGTATCAAATTACATCTTCATCAAGTCGGGCTTCGCACTGGCCAATCATGCAGATTCCCATTATGGCTGCGCGCGCGCACACTCACAGAAAACAGAGAGAGAGAGAGAGAGAAGACAGACAAAGAGAGAGAGAGGGAGAGAGAGAGAGAGAGAGAGAGAGAGAGAGAGAGAGAGAGAGAGAGAGAGAGAGAGAGGGGGAGGAGGGGGGGGGGGGGGGGGGGGGGGGGGGGGGAGGAGGATGAAGAAGCGGAAAAGAGAGAGGAATCAGGGGTTGGGAGGAATTGCCACGTGTTAAAGGTAACACCACTCACAGTCGCGACACATGTGATCGTCTTCCTGGCGGAGGATTTGTCAGGTGTCAATGGTAACTCCGTTAAGGCCCCATTTCGGGAGAGAGCTTCAAGCCCTCCAGAATCAGGCCGTCGCCGCCATCGCCCATCTGAAATGCAGTCCGTACGGGCGCGTAGCCCATCGAACGACGACAATGACACGCTGGACGGAGAGGGGGAGCATACAGACCCCTCCAATTGATCATACCCCACCGCCGCCCTAATTGCTGTACAAGCCCTGGCAGACGCGCACAACATGCCTGCTGCTTGGGCCGCCATTCTCTCTCTCTCTCTCTCTCTCTCTCTCTCTCTCTCTCTCTGTCTCTCTCTCTCTCTCGCTCGCTCGCTCGCTCTCACTCTGAATTGCTGAGATTAAGCGAATTCTCCGGTCCAGACCATCCCAGCCGTCCAGATCTTGACGATGGCGGCTTCTTCAGCTATGGCGCAGACATGTTCTCTTTCCCACCAGTGCTCTCTCTCTCTCTCTCTCACACACACACACACACACACAGAGTTCAGTTTGCAGGGTAGCAGTGCTGGTAAGAAGGGGAATTGTGCGTTTCTATATAGCTCAACAACTTCCGTTTAATACGCTCAACAAAACAAAAGAAGAAAAAAAAACAGGTTGCGTGTAGTAGGCTCCACTTATTTCACATGGAGACAACTGTCAGCCTCCCAGAGTGGCTTATCCTCCCCTCGCGATCCGTTTTAGGAAGTTTTGGTATCCCATCCGACGGCCAGGATCTCCTGCTAACTCCGATATCCCAAAGACTGGCGGTGGTTATCGTGTTATGCTGTGCAGTTTGCATTTGTTTGGTACTCGTGTTTTTTTTGTTTTTTTTCCGGTGCATTGCATGTAGTGAGCGCTTCCTGCTGTGGCCAGCTTGTCATTCATCCCCCCTATACCGTTTTTTCCCTTTTTTCCAATGCCGTTTTGTCGGAGCATTCTCCAGTCTGTAACGCACATGTTCTCCCAGAAGAGCGGAAAACAGGGTCTCGCTCCACTACACTACTGTCTGCTGTACGATTTCGGATACTGGGACACCGCCCACCGCTCCACTTAGGACCTCGCCACACCTATGTCCAAACAAGTGTTTTCGACATTTTTCCTTCGCCACACAGACTATATAAGTTGATTTGAAAAAAAAAAAGAAAAAAAAGTCCCTATGTCAAAAAAGTTCTTACAGTTGTCGAAAACTTCGCCGTTTTAACATTGGTGTGGGCGAGGCCCTTAGGGCATACTCACACTAGCGGTTTTTTTGCTAAATCGCAAAATCTGCTATGCTGTTAGAGTCACACTTTGGTAGGGTTTTCCCACCACCAAAATTGCATTGCAAACGGGGTGGCATTTGTCAGCGGCGGCCTGGGGGCCGCGGGGATGGGCATTTTGCTACCACCTGGAGAGGTGGTGGCAAGTTCTCTTTTGGCGAGGGGCCTGAGGGGAGGCATGGGGGATTGGTTCTCTTTATCCCTGGTGCTACCGGCCGTCCCCTGGCCGGTATCCTGCAGGCTCGAGGGGCCGTAAAAACACGGCTCTGGTGTGCTACGGGTTTCCCGTATGCCTACAAGTAGGAGTAGTGGTAGGTAGGTAGTGTGAGGAAAATTGAGAGAA